AAGAATTTCACCTCAAGCAACCCGAAGATTATTTCTACCTCAATCAGGTAACCCGTGACAGGGATTTACAAATGCATTGATAAATGTTGTCTGTCTCTTGTGTTAAAGTTGAAAGAGTATACTTGTTTTCTTGTGATGCTTGGGCTTCGTTCTTTGCCTCTAATTATGGATGTCTCTTCACAGCATAACTTGAAAATTGAAGACGGGGAAGATCTCCGACATGACTTTGAAAGATTAAAACAAGCCATGGAGATGGTTGGCTTCCTTTCAGCAACAAAAAAACAGTAAGTAGAATCCTTATAGCTTTTGTTACTGAGAGCTAGTTAATGTTTATGAATTGTGATAACCTGTATATGTGTTGGGATCACATTTAGTCTGGTAGGAAGCCAGGAGAGCTGAGTATTTTGAGGGCTTATGGACAAATTCTTGAAGTAGAATGAAGTTCCTAACCTGTTATAATGACCTTATAAGACAAAATCTTATAAAATTCAATTTTTCTTCCTTAGGATTTTTTCAATACTTTCAGCTATTCTTTATTTGGGCAACGTTACATACAAGAAGAAAGCTACAGGTCGTGATGAAGGGTTGGAAGTAGGACCTCCGGAAGTCTTGGACATTCTTTCCCAGCTTTTGAAAGTAGAGTATTTCTCTTTAGCTCTAATGTTTGATCGATCTTTTTGTCATGCTCCACCTTAGCAGTTTACGTGAATATCTAGTTGCTCAGTTTGCTATATTTAGATCTGGTTTACAGTACTTCCACAATATTTATCTTAGTGGAGGGGAAATGGATAAAATTGGTGAAATTATTTGGATTAGTAGTGGAATATAGCCCACAGCATGGAAGTAGAATTTGTTTACTCAGTAATCGTAGAGCTGAGAAAGAATAAATTCAGTAGAGATGTGTTCTTTGCCACCATAAGGAATCCTCTGAATTAATCTAAGCTGAGAATAATTTAAAGAAGTTGAAGAACTTGTAAAGCTATTGATGAATGATAAATGTAGCTGTTGTCAGAGCGCTTGGGCTTCTCTGAGGTGATTGTAATGTCCACTGTTGCTATCAGATTACTCATTGGGGAGTGCGAGGGTGACAGTAACTCTTGTTCTTGCTTGTTTTGAAGGTTAAACGAGAAATTCTAGTAGAAGTGCTAACAAAAAGAAAAACTGTGACAGCCAATGATAAACTTATTTTGCCATATAGTCTCAATGAGGTGAGTAAAAGAACACTAAGAATTATTTTAAATAACTGAAACATCCTTTTTTAGATAAAAAAAAAAGCTAATGTGGTATTCCCTCACATTTAGTGAGAGATGTTTGGAAAGTTAGAAGTAAGTATTGAAGGAAAATTTTGTTTTTATTTGTCTCTGGTAAGATTGTAACCTTTGAGTGACACTGGTCTGAAATAAAAATGTTTTTTTAAAGTTCTGAACATTGTTTCTTCTGCAGGCAATAACAGCTCGTGATTCAATGGCAAAGTCCTTATACAGTGCTCTGTTTGATTGGATTGTTCTGCGAATCAATCACGCTCTCCTTAATAAGAAGGACATGGAGGAATCTGTTACAGTAAGTTTCTCACAAAAACAAGTCTCTGTAGACAGTTGTGTATTTAGAGCTAACAGACAATGCTATAGATGACATGTTCAGATATCTGGGATAAGTTTTGATTCTTCTAAGTCCATAGTAAATTTCTTGGTAATATTTAATGGTCTCTGTTTTCACAGTAGACATAACTGTTAAATATTTGAAATCTATTAGCACACACTACAGTGCTCTTTGCAGGGTTAGCTGTTGGGGGTTAAGGCGCTGTATGACAGATTGCTTAACTAGATTTCCACATCTTTCTTTTAGTGTTTGTCCATTGGTGTACTTGATATTTTTGGATTTGAAGACTTTGAAACCAACAGTTTTGAACAGTTCTGTATAAATTATGCTAATGAGCAGCTTCAGTATTATTTCAATCAGCACATTTTCAAATTGGAACAGGTAAGAAACTAGAGTTGCTGAAACAAACTTTTTTTATCAAGTGCCTATATATTATGCAAACTTAGCCACTATTCTACAAAACCCCACAGCATAACTCTTATAATTGCTTGAATTTATTTCCAAAAGTCTTGGTTTTTTTAATTTCTTGTTTCATTATTGCTTGAAGGTTGTAGCTTTGCTGTATTTATATTTATATACTAATGATAGCAGAGCCTTTCTTTAGAGTGTTAGCATTATGTTTCTGCTTGACTGCAAGAAACTAAAAAGATGTTCAGGCAGATCCGAGAGAGAAGTCAGATGAAACCGTAAACTTGGAGATTAAAAGTCTGTAGGTGAGGTGTTTGTTTCAGGGTTTTTTTTAATAGTGAGATTTTTGGTTTATTTTAATGGTTGGGAAATAGTTTCTCTTATTTTTGTCAGTTTGTAAATATTTAATAACCAGTCTTTTGTTGTTTCTTCCACCTGACTGCATTTAGGGAATACAACTGTATGTTGATATTGGCAGTAGTTCTGAAATCCTGATATTACTGGCATATGTTGATTTACTTGTTTGCAGATGGTATCATCTTACAGAGCGCTTTGGGTGCTGCAAGAGCTAACAGATCCTGTTTCTAGACTGAGGTTTGAGGGGTATTTTGCTCTAGAGTTGGATTTTTTTTCTGGTTTGTGCTGAAGCCTTATTCTCAGGTCACTCTGCTGAAAGAAAGAAGTCATTCTGTAGTATGTGGTATTTTGTCAACAACATGTAGATAACTTTAAACAAGCATTTTAAAGAGAAGAAAATTACCAAACATACAAACTTCATATGTAAACATCATGTTGATGTCCCTGTTTTGCAACTTACGACAGAAGTGGCTATCCAGGCTAACTAGAGTAAATAGTTACATTGTTTTCTTTTTTTCTAATGCCATTTTTCCAAATAAGCTTAATCCTTGAATGACCCATTTCCTGTATCTCTTGCAGCATGAGGGCCCTTAGGGGGGATCTCTATATCTTTTTAAAGAAAGGCTTTTTTGTCCGTGGAAAATGGCATTTCAGTTCTGTAATGTGGCATGCACACTGAGCAGTCTGTCATTAGGCAGACTGAATGCTACCTACTTAAAAATAATCCATTTCTTGTTGTGGTCATAATAGAACAGTGAGAGGTGCTCTTTGTCTGTTGTTAAACGTAAAACTTTAGTTAATTTTCTGTGTGATATCTTTTTTTACATTATTACCTTATCGTTAGGGTTTTTTCTGTGGCCATTTGCAGCATTAAGAAAAAACGATATTTTGGTCCCATATCTTAATGGGAAGCTTTTCCTGTCAAGCATTTGATGCGTTGTCATTTCAGCAGAAGAGCTTTGTGTTCTGTTGTCAGAGAGCTCCGTATTTTCTGAACCTAAGTGATATACGTTGCTTCCTTAGGGAAGTTCTGGTGTTGATGTTGTGTAG